ACACACGCGTAACCCCTTTTAAACGGATTATACTTCACTATACTTTAGCGCAACCCGAACATAATAAACTTAGTATTCCTACAGTAAGTTTCTTCGACCCGGTGTGGAGGGTGGATAAATAAACGCTGTCACCCTAGGTGGATCCTCCCCCCGTGGTGACGTTTTCGTAAATCCAAGCCTTCTTATTATAATGTTATATAATGGTGTCCATACTGACCGATCATAATGTAACAATGTACAACATTTATATAATAATATAATATACACAAGAAGAACGAGGTTTACCTATTGCCGAAGTGAGAGTGTAATGCACTGTTTATACAGGTTGGGCCATTGTGTATAGCCCTCTTAGTTATCCCGAAACATGTATGAAAAATTCAAAAATCCAGTTTCCAATAATGTACGAACCTGCCAGCGTGTTCACATAATACACCTCATGACTAGGGGCGTTATCACAGCAATTTCTGTATATATATATACACACGAAATTATATTGCTATTATATTATTATATATTATTATAGTGTGATTCGATTCCAGACCGAGGGAATTATTATACATAGTAGGTAGTAGGTACCTAGGTATTCAATATATACACATAATATAGCGTGGCCTACGTCCTAATCTGTAGCGGATCGTGCACAATAATTTCGAAACCTCTGAGGTAATCCCGGTGCAGCGGTGTGCAGCTCTGGTCAGCGAGTAGACCCTACGCCGCCGCTACCACCACAGCCGCTGTTGAATCATCAACAGAAACTCGCCGCGTCCATATTATATACCTTCGCATATTAGTATGTATATCAGTACAATATTACTTATTAGTATACACCATACGGATGTGTGCATAGATCATCTGCTAACACGAATTTTCGTGTGTATTATATATTATTATTATAATGAGACGTGATGTGTAATGTCAGACATTTCCTAATTGAGTAATACACCTATGGCCTATGTATTATGTTATCAAGGTACATCCGTATATATATATTGTATATTACCTTTTTGTCCTGCACGTGCGTGAATATAATACTATGTATCGTGAATAATATCGGAGAGGGATGGTCTCTCTTCTGTCGTATCTAGACAGAGTAGGGGCGTTGAAATGTCATTGCAGTCTTCTCCGAGAGGTGGTTTTGAATACGTTATGCACTGAAATCCACGATGTCCAGAGTGTAGATATTTCGTACATGGTTTAAATGTAATTTTATATGTAATGACATTCCCCTACTTATCTATATATTATAATATAATAATATACAAGCTGCAACATCACGTAGTACCTATACGTACATTGGCAATAATTAGTATTTTGGTATTATAAATTAAGGTTTGATTTAAAGGCTTCAGTGGCTTCGCCGGACATCATAATATTTATTACTTACTAACTATAATATGTAATTAATTAATCACAAACCCGCAGCGTTACTTATTATTTATTACAGGTATATAGTGCTAAAAAGTCGTATCAATGCAGTATTTTAATCCAAGTCCATTTTCAAAACATAATAGTAGAAACAGTGATTATTGTTTATTTTTTCCGTCTTTGTAGTTTGTACACGATATCTTTAAATCTGATTATAATAATACATAGTGTGAAATATGTTGCATAATGCGTACACTGCGCTTCGCGTAATCGCGTGTAATTAACTTCAAAAATTCATTGTATTAAATATGCACCTAAACCTTTGGTTATGTGATTTGGCATTCCGTCGTATAAAAAATAAAATGGATTAAGATACATCGCATATTATTGATATTATTATTATTAAAATAATAGTAAAACACTTCAATACCATACTATCGCATTTAAATTAATGTTTATATGTACGCTTCGTGGCCCCTTAACGTTTGGAACAAATGCTTCAAAACAATTTCTTCGGTTGCGATAAAGTAAATTGATTCAATAATAAACCATGAGTAACTATACCATCATTTATTATAATACTTATTAAATCAATTGATACGATAATTTCAACGATAATCTGTAGTGACTAGGTATACAATAGCTTATTCCGTGTTCACGTACATCGTAAATACACTGTACGAAACAGTTAAGTTACCTAACCAATAATAATTATCACGGTGAAGAGGATTTCTAGACTAATCAATTAAAACTGATTTATTTATTTAATGGGCTTTATTTTTCTAGTGGAAAATGGAACGAAGAACCATAAAAGAACATTTTACTTGTAGGTATCTATTATATCTAATAATGATTTTCACGATGTATTCATAATAGTTTATATATTTTAAATTTATTGCAATTTAAAAAAAATTAAAAATAAATGGTACCAACAATTTTAGGAGTGCTTAGGTCCCGCTTATAATATTTATAAATATATAAATTATTTAATTTATATTATTTTGTGTGAATTAATAGAGCAGAAAATATATACGATATAGCATTATAGCTACAGTTCAATTAATTTCCAAATATTTTTGTATACATTATTTAATTGGATAATAAATATGTACCATTATATTTTTAGAGCACAATTGACTCTTTCTTAATCCCTAGTTCATCTTCATATTTTAGGTATATAAAATAAAGTTAATTTTAAACACAATGCAATACAATATTTCAATATGTACAACTTAAATTGTATATTATAAACGAATAATCTCAAACACTACGGAGTTGAGAGTTATATTTTATGCGATAATATTAAACATAACGGACTTGTTGGTAAGCGTTTTACTAATATACTACGTACAATGTACAAACATAATGTGTGCATATCATAAAATGTTAAAACCAATAAAAAAGTATTTATATATGCGATGTTAAACTCATTTTGGCGTATAACCCATACGACGATAGTGTATAGTTACTCGATTTAGTAAAGCGACGTAGATACCTCGTGTATAGAAAATATAATATATTGTATTATTGAAAGTCGATTGGTTAGCTGTTAATATAACAGCGGACTCTTGTTTTCTCTTCTACAACGAAAATAATGTGGTAATAAGCACTCGAAAAGCACAACCAGTTGATCTATTTTTTACCATTTAAAAGCTTTTTACTGCTGTCGTTCAAGTGCTCGCACTTTTATAAACAAGACACAAAATAGAGACGTTTAACGGGTGAAAATAAATTAAATAAATAGAGCGAATATAGCCATCTCGAGTGTTGGCAGGTGTGTGTTATTTCTACCCTACTTCTCATTTTTCTCTCGCACTTACGACCGAGTTACACTTACACTTGCGACAGATTAGCTTAGCTTTCAACAAATCTGTTGCATAACGTGCACGTTTTGCGAAGTGAAAACATTATATTATTATTGTTGCGCACGGTGGCTGAATTTCGAGGGTAAAAACTTTTAAACCACCAGTTGACGGATTCCGGACAAAATCCATGGTATTACCTACGCTACTGAAATAACTAATATCATACTATAACTTATAATTATTTTAAGGTATGCCATTTTTTCAAAAGCTATAAATATTTCAAAAATATTTTTTTTACATAATTTAAAGTACATATTATTTTAAATAGGTAACTACTAAACAAAATAATATAGTTGTATTACATGTTTATGCATCGTTTTAAATGTTTTAATACACTGCAGTTTACGCATAAGGTTTCAAATTCTGAAATTCTTTGTTTGTTATAATTTCAAAATTAGTAAAAAAATATAAAAATATACTTTAAAACGTTAAGTAATAGTGTTTGAAATAATAAGTGTTTCCACGATTTTAAATCAACTATATTTCTATAGTTTATTTGTGAACTATACTTAATTTGAGTGTCTTGTTCAATTAATATAGTTTCAAATGGCATGTATTCCCGTTCCCTTAAAATAATTTAATCACGATAATGGTAATATTGGGCATAAAATGTGATAAAATAAAATTGTGTCTTTAAATAAAAGCTTATCGATTTCAATATTATAGGCGGTAAATCACTTTTTTTTGAATCTTCGAACAACATAACTTAGTTTATTATCGTAGTGATAAAGCTAACTACCTACTTGTAATATTTAAACAACTATTGTTTAAATATTATGTATTGTGCAGTTATGAATTCAAACGATTGCATCAAAAGGTTCTATTATTGTTTTTTTTTTTTACAATGATTAATTTTGAAATAATTAATCTTTATTAATTGCTAGAATATTATATTTTTTATCTTTTTAACATATGTAAATTATCTTATTCTAATTTATTCGAACAGAAATAAAAGTACACATTAAAAGCAATTAAAACTAAGCATGTACAAATGAATGAAATCTAAAATTACATTTATTTAAGCTTGATAATCATTTACATATTATACTAATGCAGTAATTAAATTGTGTTCCGAAATATTTATTATTTATATTATTTGGAATAACATATCAGATATTAATAATATCATACACATGGATATAATTATACAGCGGTTTAATAAGCAGCACAATTTTTTTACGAGTTTTTAACGTTGTAAATTTAAGTTTGGGACGCTAGTTAAAAAAATTTTACGATTAGCTTGAAAACGACGATTTATCATTCATAATACGCACGCGAATACAAAATGTTGAAATAAAGTGTTCTTCTCAGACTTAGAGTGTATACCGAATGAGTAATGAACTTTTTTTTACTCGTTTGCTTAAAAGCGAGCTCACATTTGGGATAAACAATTTCATCATATTCAGTTTTCCGCGGTAACGATATTGTTGCGCCGATAATTTTAAATTATATTTTATTGAAAATCGTAGGTACAAAATACCTAATCCACATTCTACATCAAAATTATTTTTAATAAAAACGCGTAAACGATAAAATATGTCGTTACTTGATTCCAGGACGATTTTATATTATTATTATTATTATTATTATTATTATTATATCATATCATCGTTGAATTTAAAATGGAAAAATAAAAGAATGGTTTCACGATGCACTGAGGCTGCGGGAAGTTGTGGCAAATAAAAAAAAATGATTTTAATACTTCGGTTTTCAGAAACTCAATATCATAATATACAAGTACGTGACCGTAGTTGTAATAAGAAAACTGACCTGGAATCCGTTGATCGGCGGGTAGGTGAATGTGCCTTTGGCACTGGCGACCACCCAAGCTTCGGCAAACGTCTCCATGGCGCTCTGGAAGTCCATGTCGGGAACTCGTTACCCGAATTGTTGGGCTCGCGACAACGCAACAGCAGTGACGTATTAAAATCTTACAACGATGAGGACTTCTCGAAAACCTTCCAGCTGCAGACGGCCGGGCCTTTTAAAATGTTTAACCGCGCGCGGTTACCGCGGTAGCGCCGCAAATGATAATAATACTATCAATAACAATAATTTATTATTGGCGTGGCGACGCAGTTGTGATGATTGCATTCGGTCGTATGCGGCGGCGGCGGCGGCGGCGGCGGCGGCGGCGACGGTCGGTCGGACGAGCGGTACACGGCGGAGACAAAACGAGCTGCAGAACACGTGGCCACGCGGTCGCGTTCCGGAGCCGACTGAACTGCGCGGCGAGAACATGTGCCGCCGCCGCTGTCGGTCGGAAGCGAATTATTCGACGACGCCTCCCCCCTCCCACCCCCGGCGCGCGACCGTCGTCTTTCGCGCTCACCCGCCACCGCCGTCGCCCCGTCCGCCCAAGCGTGTCCCGCAAAAACCGCGGACGACGACGACGGCGTCTTTTACCGCGCGCGCCGCGAGTCGACATAAATACGCCCTCTCCGGCGTTTCGGGACCCGCCTTCGAGTGGATTTCCCTTCGCTTTTATAATATTATTATAATATTATTATGATGTATAATAATAATAATAATAATAATAATAATATTATTAAAACACAATACAAAACACCTCCGCGCTCACAAAAGCTCCGACTCGCGTGTTCATACCAATGTAATATTATTACGAACCTGCAGCTCCGTGCACCCCGTACCACACAAATCGTCAAGTATACCTAATTTGTATACCATGGTATAATATGATATTATGGTTGCTGGTTTTATGACGCAGTTATTGTTCTTATGACACGTTTAATATTATAGTATATAGGTACAGGACCTAGTAGTGTACCGTCTCATCCGTTTTCCCGGAATCGTTCTCTCCCAGCTCGAATGTGATTTATCATAATATTTTATCGTGTTCACGTCGTGATACAGGTGGCTATATCGTAATAGGGAGTATGGCGTTGTCTTATTTTCTTAACGATTTGTCAGTGACTTACAGGTATACATAATAACACTAGTATATTTTAGAATCTTCTCCGGTGCAGTGAGATAAGGACGTATTATTATAATTATAGTGGATATTTTATTGCGACATTTCTGCGGCCCGGAAAAAACTTTTTGTCACCCACCAGGTGATCGAGGTATTTACTGTTTAATTACTGAGCCACGACGATTTTTAGTGGAAATGACGATGTTTGAAATTATTATAAAATTTAATTTGATAAACATTGCATGTGTTTAATTTTGTCTTTTATTTATGTATCACTTGATACCACTTTGTATTCATATATATTTGGATGTACAAATAATTATTGAGAATGGAAAACCCGTGTGACCGTTCACCGCAGGTACCCATGGAATAATACATGTTTCATCTGGTCGTCAGTTGTACCGGGAAATATTTACAAATAGATTGTTTTCGATTTTATTTTAGTCCTTGTTCCTACGGTTTACGCCCAGTTCGCCGACACTCAATTTGCCGACTGGCGGTTTTTTGATAAAAAAAACCAGTTTTTAATGGTTTTTTAAAAAAAGAAATGATATTGGCGACATTCTTTGTTGCATTGCAATACAACTATAATATAGGTTCTATCATAATCTGTAAATTAATTTTATTGCGTGTATCAGCCATAAGGACAGGTCCCTATTGGCTAATATATAATATAATATCTGTAAACTTATTCAACGATGAGCGTAAGATAGTATTATAATTTATAGATACCTATCACATGATAATTGACATCCATCAATACATTATAAATATATATAACATAAAAGTCTACTGTGGTTTTCAAATAATTATTACAATTTTAGTTTGTAGTTTTATTTCACTGCGTGAGCTAGGTAGATGCTGCAATAAAATTTATTAATAGTTAATACACATTTCATTTTTTTCCTCCATTTTGGAATAGTGTCTTACTTAAGTCAGAAAAAATCAGGACTTACTTGTAGTGGACAAATATTAACACAGAATAGGCCGGATACGTGGAGACAACGAATATTATAAAATATGCGTGTATTTATACTTTTATTATTATAACGACTGTAATATTACCATTTTACCTATATTTTTAAATTACATTTTATATATTTATTATAATTAAACAGAGATTTGGAAAATATGATGACTATGTAATATTCTAATATATTTACTATTTTATATTTTTGTATTACTTATTATTTATATATTTTTACAACTGCACTGTACTTTTTCAAATTGAGTGTCGGGCGTCGGCAAACTGGGTGTCGGCGAACTGGGAAGTTTCTACAACTTATTAGACAAAATATATTTATTTCACTTTGAACCTTCAACAGTTTAAACGTTCAAGGTTCAATACTTACGACATACGACGACTTTCGTCTTTCGGTAAGTATTAAATAACTTAAAATCTAATACTTTATACTTGGACTTAAACTTGATAATGTTTTTTCAATAATTTTAATATATTACAAATTACAAATTACAATAATACTGTAGGAAATATACCCTTCACCCTTATATATAATACTTATACATACGGCTATAGTTACTAAACATTTTCAACCCCTTTAACAGATACACCCGTTATAATATCCCCTCCAAAATACTCTAAATATTAAATTTAATAGGAAATAGTACCTATAGATCCATTTTAATTGTTGGACTCTTTTTTCTCGCTCTTAGTCACTTAGCCTGCTTAGGAAAAATGTCAATGACAGTCCACTAAATTTTAATGAAAATCTACAAGATAATTTTTATGAATAATTATGATTTATGAACCATCATTAATAAAACAAAATTAAAACTATTTTTTGGAACGTTGAGAAAAACATTACAATCTAAAACATGTTTTTGTAATAGTTTGTTTTCATGATAGTAGGCACAAAAGACAAATGTTATGATAAATATTTTTATTTAAAAATGCTCAACTTAACTACTTTAACTGCAGAAGTGAAATCATAATTTTCCCTCTAAATTATTATAACGTAAATTGTCAATAAGAATAATATAACATTGTCACTTGTTAAAATACCTGTAGGGTGCAGGATTGGCTGCAATCGGTCACCCAACGTGATTGAGAGTACGCAAGCGTCTACTGCCACTAGTTCCCGGATTTAAAGTTTTAACGAGTTTAAAACAGTCGTACCAAACCTTAACTCCTTAAAATAGACCCAATGGTCTATGTTGCCACAAGGTAATTAATATCTATAATTGAACTTATAATTTTTGATTTATGTATATGGATATTAAAAATTACTTTTATAATAAAAATTAATACAAATAATAATAAATACTACAAATTTAATTATATTAAAGGAGTATCTTTTTCAATTTAAATTTGTTTGATCAAAAACGGTTTTCTATACAATGCACAGACGACTTGAGGGTTATTTTTACGAACTGAATGAAATGTATGACTTGTTATACTTCTTACAAAAATTGTTGTACATTTATGCGATTGCTGTACTACAGATGATTTGTGTATATAATAAATAAAATTAATGTGATAAATAAATAATTAATAGAAAATACAATATTTATATCGGAATACACATTGTGTGCTAAATATCTGTAGAAAAATTGGAAATTAATATTAATATTATATATTTTATAAATCAAAATATTGAGTAATACATTTCATGAAAAGTTTAAAAATAAATGTTAACTATTCTGATATAATTTAAAGGTTTTTACAAATGTATTGATTACTTGTACTGAAAAATATATGTTTCGTAATAATTTACATCATAATAAAAGTAATATAATTAACGTTGTACATGGAACTGTGGAATGCATATAGGCAAGAGCAGCATTGAGTAAATATTCAAGTACTTACCTAACTTAATTTACACAAATCTGTGTCAGTTAATTTAGTATTATTCTACTTGATAAGTGAATTAGGAAATAGAATATGCAGATAATACTTCAATAGGTACAGGCAGCATAATGGATATGAGTTATTTTCTAAATATTACATTTAATCATTTATGTAAGTAGGTACTAAAAGTAAACATATTTTAATCACATTGTAAAATATGTATTTAAAAAAAGCATCTAAATAAAATTGTGTCATATGTTTAGTGATGGGTAATTTTCCGACATTTAAAAGTAAGGGAATATTCCTTTAGAATATTTCCGGAATTTATAGTTTTTTTAAAAATATTTTTTCTGTCAATCCACTAATGTAAGTATATAATATTTGCTTAGGTACATATCAATAATTATAAAATTTAGTTGAAATAAGGACGGTATCAAGAAGAAAGAGAAATCACTATTGTTGCTGAAATATTATTTTCTGTACAAGCTGTACACCGACTTTTCCAAGAGAAAAATTTACAAATATAACACTTAGTAACCCGAAATTATCCAAGTTTTTGAAGCAAAATGAGCTCTTCAAAGAAATATGGAACAATATTTTAACTAAAATTGTTGTATATTGTACACCTATTATTCCCACAATTTTAAACTTGTCTTGTTTTATAAAATACGAAGACGTAATAGATGTCAAGTCTGAGAATACATACCACCACAAATGTTTAAGCAGAAAAAGGGGTGTTGAATAAAAAAAAAAAAAATTATATTTTAATATATACTTGGGCGTCTATGCATTTAAGGCTAATATTAAGTCTTTTGTGTTATATGAAAGGTGAACCAAGTTCAAGATCACCCACCCGAAATATTTAGTGTTACCTTAAATCATGATCACAGTGTATATAAGCTTCTATATTGTAAAAAATACTTACTTTGGATAGTAATTGTATACTTTAAATGTAGGTATTTTATACTAATACAATTATGTTGCTGGATGTGAAAATACACATTTTCGTTATACATAAAAGGTGAATTTTAAAAACAAGCACAAATAATTAACATTGAGAATAAAACTTTTCTTTTTGTGTACAATATAATTTGTTAGTTGTTACAATCATTTCTGACGAATAATAAAGATATACAAAGCATATGAATAGTTCATTTCTATTTTAAGTGGATTTCGTTATTTTATATTTTTCTTATTTAGATATGCGAACAACGTATTAATATATTATAATATTTTATACTTTTGTGAAACTTTGTTCTCACCGTTGGTTCGAGTGCGATTGTGTGAACATTGGAAATCTATACGGAGCCAGACTCTTGCTGTAAATATGTCACATAATAATAATTGTATTATTATTTTTATTTTTATCGGCGAAGAATAAATTTCCCAGGCAAAAATTATTCGCTATATGAACACGAGTAAAGACAAAATCGATCGAAATAAGAACGTCGTTTCCGTTCACATTCGGTGTTGTAAC